CTTTTAAATGTTAAGGAAGAAAGGGAGGCGGTAATTTCATGCACTGGTCAGGGAGGTATACCATCTTTTAGGAGTGAAGAAGAGCAGAATGTAAGTGTGGGGGAGGTATGTGAGGCATTACGTAGAATGAAAGGGGGTAAAGCAGCTGGAACTGATGGGATCATGACAGAAATGTTAAAAGCAGGGGTGGATATAGTGTTGGAGTGGTTGGTACTTTTGTTTAATAAATGTATGAAAGAGGGGAAGGTACCTAGGGATTGGCTGAGAGCATGTATAGTCCCTTTATATAAAGGGAAAGGGGATAAAAGAGATTGTAAAAATTATAGAGGAATAAGTTTACTGAGTTTACCAGGAAAAGTGTACGGTAGGGTTATAATCGAAAGAATTAGAGGTAAGACAGAATGTAGGATTGCGGATGAGCAAGGAGGTTTCAGAGTGGGTAGGGGATGTGTAGATCAAGTGTTTACATTGAAGCGTATATGTGAACAGTATTTAGATAAAGGTAGGGAAGTTTTTATTGCATTTATGGATTTAGAAAAGGCATATGATAGAGTGGATCGAGGAGCAATGTGGCAGATATTGCAAGTATATGGAATAGGTGGTAAGTTACTAAATGCTGTAAAGAGTTTTTATGAGGATAGCGAGGCTCAGGTTAGGGTGTGTAGAAGAGAGGGAGACTACTTCCCGGTAAAAGTAGGTCTTAGACAGGGATGTGTAATGTCACCATGGTTGTTTAATACATGTATATTTATAGATGGGGTTGTAAAAGAAGTAAATGCTAGGGTGTTCGGGAGAGGGGTGGGATTAAATTATGGGGAATCAAATTCACAATAGGAATTGAAACAGTTACTTTTTGCTGATGATACTGTGCTTATGGGAGATTCTAAAGAAAAATTGCAAAGGTTAGTGGATGAGTTTGAGAATGTGTGTGTAAAGGTAGAAAGTTGAAAGTGAACATAGAAAAGAGTAAGGTGATGAGGGTATCAAATGATTTAGATAAAGAAAAATTGGATATCAAATTGGGGAGGAGGAGTATGGAAGAAGTGAATGTTTTCAGATACTACTTGGGAGTTGACGTGTCGGCGGATGGATTTATGAAGGATGAGGTTAATCATAGAATTGATGAGGGAAAAAAGGTGAGTGGTGCGTTGAGGTATACGTGGAGTCAAAAAACGTTATCTATGGAGGCAAAGAAGGGAATGTATGAAAGTATAGCAGTACCAACACTCTTATATGGGTGTGAAGCTTGGGTGGTAAATGCAGCAGAAAGGAGATGGTTGGAGGCAGTGGAGATGTCCTGTCTAAGGGCAATGTGTGGTGTAAATATTATGCAGAAAATTCGGAGTGTGGAAATTAGGAAAAGGTGTGGAGTTAATAAAAGTATTAGTCAGAGGGCAGAAGAGGGGTTGTTGAGGTGGTTTGGTCATTTAGAGAGAATGGATCAAAGCAGAATGACATGGAAAGCATATAAATCTATAGGGAAGGAAGGCGGGGTAGGGGTCGTCCTCGAAAGGGTTGGAGAGAGGGGGTAAAGGAGGTTTTGTAGGCGAGGGGCTTGGACTTCCAGCAAGCGTGCATGAGCATGTAAGATAGGATGAATGGAGACGAATGGTACTTCGGACTGACGATCTGTTGGAGTGTGAGCAGGGTAATATTTAGTGAAGGGATTCAGGAAACCGTATTTTCATATAGTCGGACTTGAATCTGGAATGGGAAGTACAATGCCTGCACTTTAAGGAGGGTTTGGGATATTGGCAGTTTGGAGGGATATGTTGTATATCTTTATACGTATATGCTTCTAAACTGTTGTATTCTGAGCACCTCTGCAAAAACAGTGATAATGTGTGAGAGTGGTGAAAGTGTTGAATGATGATGAAAGTACAGTGGACCCCCGGTTAACGAACTTTTTTCATTCCAGTAGTATGTTCAGGTGCCAGTACTGACCGAATTTTTTCCCATAAGGAATATTGTGAAGTAGATTAGTCCATTTCAGACCCCTAAACATACACGTACAAACGCACTTACATAAATACACTTACATAATTGGTCGCATTTGGAGGTGATCGTTAAGCGGGGGTCCACTGTATTTTCTTTTTGGGGATTTTCTTTCTTTTTTGGGTCACCCTGCCTCGGTGGGAGACGGCCGACTTGTTGAAAAAAAAAAAATGTTTATAGAGGGGCCACAGATATATCAGATCACTTTTTAGTTGTAGCTACAGTGAGAGTAAAAGGTAGATGGGATACAAAGAAAATTGGAAGCAGCAAGTAAGAGAGAGGTGAAGTTTTATAAACTAAACGAGGAAGCAGTTAGGGTAAGATATAAACAACTGTTGGAGGACAGACAGGCTAGTGTGAGTATAGGTAATGGGATAGAAGATGTATGGAGTAAGTTTAAAAATATAGTGTTAGAGTGTTCAGCAGAAGTTTGTGGTTACAGGAAAGTGGGTGCTGGAGGGAAGAAGAGTGATTGGTGGAATGATGATGTAAAGAGAGTAGTAAGAGAGAAAAAGTTAGCATATGAGAGGTTCCTACAAAGTAGAAGTGATGCAAGGAGGGAGTATATGGAAAGAAACAGAGAGGTTAAGAGAGTGGTGAAGTAATGTAAAAAGAGAGCAAATGAGAGAGTGGGCAATGATGTTATCAACAAATTTTTTTGAGAATAAGAAAAGTTTTGGAGTGAGATTAATAAGTTGAGAAAACCTAGGGAACAAATGGATTTGTTAGCTAAAAATAGGAGAGTTAGAGGTATCAGGAAGATGGAGGGAATATTTTGAGGAATTGTTAAATGCTAATGAAGATATGGAACCTGTGATTTTGTGTATAGGGCAAGGAGGAATAACATCTTATAGGAGTGAGGAAGAGCCAATTGTGAGTATGGCAGAAGTGTGTGGGGCAGTGGGTAGAATGAAAGGGGCTAAAGCAGCTGGGATTGATGGGATAAAGATAGAAATGTTAAAAACAGGTGGGGATATAGTTTTGGAGTGGTTAGTGTTTTTATTTAATAAATGTATGGAAGAGGGTAAGGTACCTAGGGATTGGCAGAGAGCATGCATAGTTCCTTTGTATAAAGGCAAAGGGGACAAAAGAGAGTGTAATAATTATGGGGTATAAGTCTGTTGACTATGCTGGTAAAGTGTATGGTAGAGTTATTATTGAAAGAATTAAGAGTACGACGGAGAGCAGGATAGCAGATGAACACGGAGGCTTTAGAAGGGAAGGGGGTGTGTAGACCAAGTGTTTGCAGTGAAACATATAGGGGAACAGTATTTAGATAAGGGTAGAGAGGTTTTTGTGGAATTTATGGATTTGGAAAAGGCGTAAGATAGGGTGGATAAGGATGCAATGTGGCAGATGTTGCAAATGTATGGAATAGGAGGTAGGTTATTGAAAGCAGTGAAGAGTCTTTTCGAGGATAGTGAGGCTCAGGTTAGAGTATGTAGGCGAGAGGGAGATTATTTCCCAGTAAAAGTAGGCCTTAGACAGGGATGTGTGATGTCACCATGGTTGTTCAATATATTTATAGATGGAGTTGTAAGAGAAGTGAATGCTCAGGCATTGGCAAGAGGTATAGGGTTAAAAGATAAAGAATCTAACACAAGTGGGAGTTGTCACAGTTGCTGATGACACTGTGCTTTTGGGAGATTCTGAAGAGAAGTTGTATAGGTTGGTTGATGAGTTTGGTAGGGTATGTAAAAGAAGGAAATTAAAAGAGAATATAAGAAAGAGTAAGGTGATTAGGATAACAGAATAATTAGATAACGAAAGATTGGATATCAGATTGGAGGGAGAGAGTTTGGAGGAGGTGAATGTATTCAGATATTTGGGAGTGGACATGTCAGCAGATGGGTCTATGAAAGATAAGGTGAATTATAGAATTGACAGGGGAAAAAGGTGAGTGGTGCACTGAGGAGTCTGTGGAGACAAAGAGAGCAAAGAGGGGAATGTATGAGAGTGTAGTTATACCAGTGCTCTTGTATGGGTGTGAGGCATGAGTTGTGAATGTTGCAACAAGGAGAAGGCTGGAGACAGTGGAGATGTCATGTCTGAGGGCAATGTGTGGTGTGAATAAAATGCAGAGAAAGTGTAGTTTGGAAATTAGGAGGATGTGCGGGATTACCAAAACTGTTATCCAGAGGGCTAAGGAGGGGTTATTGAGATGGTTTGGACATGTAGAGAGGATGGAATGAAGTAGAATGACTTTGAGAGTGTATAAATCTGTAGTGGAGGGAAGGTAGGGTAGGGGTCAGCCTAGGAAAGGTTGGAGGGAGGGAGGTAAAGGAGATTTTGTGTGCGAGGGGCTTGGACTTCCAGCAAGTGTGCGTGAGCGCATTAGATAGCAAATGAAGACAAATGGGTTTTAGGACTTGATGTGCTGTTGGGGTGTAAGCAAGGTAATATTTATGAAAGGATTCAGGGAAACCTGCAGCCCGGACTTGATTCCTGGAGATGGGAATTACAGTGCCGACACTGATAGAGGTGTTAATATTGCTGTAACGTAAGCATGCCTCTGGCAAGACAGTGATGGAGTGAATGATGATGGAAGTTTTTCTTTTTCGGACCACCCTGCCTTGGTGGGAAACGGCCAATGTGTTAAAAAAATAAATAAATACAGTACGGTACTTCACTTTATAGAAATAAAGTGTTGTTTGTCAAGAATTTTGTCTCCTATAGTTTGTTATTTAATTAATATAATCAGGTTTATTTCCCTTAGCTCCATGACTAACTTTGTTGCAAACATGCATATTCTTTAGTTGCTTGACATGCTGTATCAGGCCTAGGTTCCAGGCCAGAATTGCATACGCCAAGATATGCCTAACATATAGCATATTTAGTGTTATGAATAATTCTTTGGTGAGACTCCTAAAAGCTAATCTTAAACTCACCAAATGCAGATTCACTGTGGTTATTCAGTGTGTGCCTTGGGTGATATGTTTTTATGTGTAATTAGGTATGATAAAATCAAGGCAAAATTATATGATAAACACACTGAGAATACTTACTGCCATGGACTGGTTGAAAATAGGGTTAAAGAACCTTAATCCACCTTCTCTGCTATATGTGAAGATACTAGAGGTAGTAGATGCTCGTCTTCCTCCCATGTTACTCGCCACTGACACTCGTCGACTACTGTTCTCAAGACGGTGGAACATAAAAGAAAATCTAGATGTTGCCCTGTAAAGATTTGTATAGTCAGTAAAAATGGCTCATACAGTATACATTAGTCCCCCCGTATCTGAGGGGGATATATTCCAAGACCTACCATGGATAGCAGCGAACCCTATATATAATTCTTTTTTTCCTTTACATACATACTTATGATAAAGTTTAATTGATAAATTATGCAAAATAAGTCTAAAATTAACACTTTTTCAATGATGAGTAGCATTTCATGACTTCTCTTAAGCTAAGAACTTTTGTCCTTTATGGCCATTATTAAGCAAAATTAAGGGATTTTTTGGGTCAAAGTAAACCATGGATATGGTGGCCCTTTGTATTGATATATTTGCAACAATGTTTAAAATAATATACAGTGGAACCTCGGTTTTCATCATTAATTCATTCCAGAAAGTCTGATGAAAACCGAATTTGACGAAAACTGAAGCAATGTTTCCCATAAGGAATAATGTAAATCCAATTAATCCATTCCAGACACACAAAAGTATTAACAAAAAATATATTTTATAGAGAATAACTATATTTTTACATACATAAAATGATGAGAAATAAATATACAGGACTAATGAAATGAAAAATGAACATTTAACATCACTTTTGCCTTTATTGAAGACTCTCGTTGGCGTATGGAAGATGGCGAGGAGGGGAGAGGGAGGAGAGGTTATCTCTACCACCATCACTACCACCCTCTACCATAATCACTATCACCCTCTACCCCCATCACAACCACTACCACCCTCTACCACCATCAAAAGCACTACCACCCTCTTCCACCATCACTACCACCCTCTACCACAGTCACTACCACCCTTTACCTTTGTAGAGAGTGGTAGTGATATTTCTTCACAAAACTTTGCAACTCATTCCACTTTCATACTTTGCTACGAGTTCTTCAATTTTATCGTGTTTCTCGCCTTCTTTATTAAAGGGCTGGCACTCGGAACTTTCTTTGGCCCCATGGTGGCTTATTTAGCAGTTGCACTCAATAAACAAGCACAAAAAATAATGGATGTTGCAGATGAACACACAGGGTAATGCTCACTCGATGAGAAACAAAGCCAGATTGACTCAGAACACGTGGGATGCTTTGTGTGGGCGCCAGCAGGTGGACATGTTCGGTACGGTGGACCACTGTCAACTAGACGAAAAGCAAGGTGATGAAAACTGGGACAAAATTTTGATGAAAAAGTCGTCAAAAACTGACTAAGACAAAAACCAGGGCAAACAAAAACAGAGGTTCCACTGTCATTGTCAAGCATTGCCTAGTATTTTTTAGTGTTGCCTAGTGATGAGTGGAATTTTTTTAATGCAGTTTAGATCTATGATTGATCTTGCTTGTCAAAGCATGGCATTTTCTGAAATTTCTTAGTGTTTTCTGCTGTTTCTTAGCATTGCTTGGTATTTTTTTTATTGTTGCTTGGCATTTCTTAGCATTGTCAAGCATTTCTTTGCATTGTCTAGTTTCTTAGCATTACCTTGTGCTGGTTGGCATTGAATGTTGATAAGTGGCAAAAGTCTAGCATTGGTTAGCATTGCCTGATGTATATGCTGTGGAAATTTTTGATAATTTCCTGTAATTTGTGTAATAATTGAAGGATATAATAGCGTTTATATAAAGTAGTGTAGGTGTGTAGTGTTGATGTAACTTTCAAAGGATGTTAAGCCACAGAAGAACCAATGTCCCCTATAATTTATTTTCTTTTGTTTTTGGTAATCAGTTAAGTAAAACGTAATTATCATAATGTTGGAAAAAACTAATGTTTCAATAAAGAAAATGTACTACACACCTGAATTTGTTATTGAATTAACTGAAAAAGATGGGGGAGGAAGCTGGGTAGTGGCATAATGAAAGAATGAACTGGAATTTGTGGGCATTTAATCCAGTGTAATTGGTCCTGATGGAGAATATACGTATCGGCAAAGTGGTTTGACCTCAGAATAAACAAAGAGACAGTGTATCTGGAAAGGTCCAGATCTGTGAAATAACTGTCAGTTTAATGGTAATAATGAGGAAAATACTGGACATGTAGATTGGACATGTTGAACACTGTGTGTATGAGAATAAATTGTTTGCCTCCTTGTACATGGTATAAAACCTCAGAGTGGGTAAAGTAACTATTTATAGGCCAATAAACAGATACCTTACCTAACTCCTGTTAGGGAGGAGTTAGGTTGTATCAGCTAATGAATAATTGGATAAGTGTCTTTTAGTTTTATGTACACTGTTGCATAGTCTAATTGAGAGACAATGTATATATATATTATATATATATATATATATTTTATATAAATATATATAATATATATATATATATATATATATTATATATATATATATATTATATTATGTAGACAGCCTGTACTGTCTGCACAGACAGCCCATGCTGTCTGCCAGCTTAGTTCATATTTCGCGCCACTCAGGTGCTGCCCTCTGTAGCCAGGCCTCTAGGCAGGCACGCCAGCCTGCCGGCCCATGCCTCCGTCTCACTCACACAGCGGCCTAGCAGCAAGACACAAGGCCTCCCAGCTCTCTCTCGTGGGCATGGCCCTCCCGGGCCATGGGCACAACACAAGCCTGTGTACCCACCACTACTTAACAATAAACAAAGAAGCCTCCGAAGAAGACGTCTATCATTAACCACTCGCTTACAGCACCTACCAAACAAACCCGTTATAAATGGTGACAGCGGTGCTCGCAGCAGTTGTGTTTGCCTGGAGAGAGGGAGGAAGAGGTATGAAGTCATCTTCACTTCATCACCCTACACAAGAAGCATCCGTCTCTCAACGAGTTATCCTGATGTCGTGTCTGCACGTTTGAGCATCCAGACACAGGTACAAGCAGGATCCAGCCGAAATTTGCCGAAATTCTCTGAGAATTGTAAGTGGCATCACAGTGACCCCACGCTACAGCGTCCCACGCTACAGTGTCCCACGCTGTTTCTCAAGTCACGTGTTCAGCGTCACTTGTATGCTGTTGTTGTTGTTCAGCTCAGCACAGCTGTTTCAGCAAGCCAGAGGTGAGTTTTGTGGTGATTTCTGCGTCCAGTGTGAGCTTCTCCACGTGTTTGTGGGTGGGGGAGGATAGGAGAGGAAGTGGCTGTTCCTCACCTTGCCCATGCTCGCCCTACTCATGCTCACCTGTCTACCATACACCACTCACCACTGCCCACTCCCTCTGCTGTGTTTTCTGCTGTTTTTCGTGTGATTCATTGCCAGAGCTGTGTATCCGAGTGCCCGAGGCCACTCGAAGCTACGTGGATCAGCATGCCACGTGGATCACGACGCCACGTGGGTGTGGGCGATGTCACGTAGACCTACGAGCTACGTGAGTTACCAGATGTCCCAAGGCCACATGCTGTGGTCTGCTGCCCGCATCACATCGACGTCACCCACGATGCTGCCCGACTTCATGACGTCACGATGTCTGCCTGACGTCACCTCGAGATGTCTGCTGACGTCACCTCGAGATGTCTGCTGACGTCACCTCGAGATGTCTGCTGTCACCACTGTTATTGCTGTTCTTACTGCTGAACAGCGGTTTGGTGCCGATGAAGGTAGCGTAGGTAGCAATGATACGGCCATGGACTAGTTTGGCTTTAATTGGATAGGAGTGAGTACACAACGGGCAGTGTGAGGGAGTGATGGCGAGCCAGTCCGTGGAGGGGAAGCACTTGTGTCTCTCAAGTCAGTCGGCCTAGGAGTGAGAGCAGTTGGGCTGAGCCTCCCACTGACCTGGGTGAGCCTACAGAGGGCAGCACCTAAATGCCGCGAAATATGAACTAGTCAGAGCAGACGGCTAGGCCGTGTGTTCTGACAGTACAGGCTGTCTACATTTATATATATATATAGGACAAGCCATGGGGGATGGAAATCTTTAGCTCAAGTACTTTCACACTTCTCAGTGCATCATCAGGAGCTGTGCAATGATGCAAGGGAGCAACCAAAGCAGGAAGAGAGGTCTCAGAGTAGAGTAGGTGTCACCGTCCACGTCCATGGTTACCCTTAGACTTGGTTAGTGGTCGGTGCCAACCCCACCCTACCATCATATATATATATATATATATATATATATATATATATATATATATATATATATATATATATATATATATATATATATATATATATATATATATATATATATATGTCGTGCCGAATATGTAAAACTGGTCAATTAGCAAGAACTCATTTAAAATTAAGTCCTTTCTAAAGTTTTCTCTTATACGTTTAAAAATATTTTTTTTCATTAAAGTTAATGTAAAAAATTTTAATTTTGCACCAAAAGAATCTTAGAAAACTTACCTAACCTTATTATAACAAGAGCAATTTATTTTAGCCTAACCCAACTAAATATATTTTAGATTTGTTTACAGTAATTTAATACTAAACAAACACAGTGAAATATATTTTTTTTCTTTAGGTTCAGAATGATTTTGGCGAAATTATTGCATGCACAAATTTTCACTTGTCTTATATAGCAAGATGAGCGTTGCAATTTAAGCCAAGATTGCAAGTTCTGCCTATTCGGCACGAACACATATATATATTATATATATATATTTATATATATATATATATATATTATATATATATATATATATATATATATATATATATATATATATATATATATATATATATATATATATATATTACCTTTTCATATACTTTTATATTGCCAATATTTTCATTAATAGCTAAAATGAAAATATCTTGCTTTATATAATTATTTGACTTTTGTTATCTTAGCTATGTCCTTAGGTAGGATATAACATTTACACTGCACTGTGCTCGCTCTTGGAGAGCTGTGACTAGCTGTCCACTCTCGCATACTGCTTATCTAACTTCCGGCTCACTTGTTTACCTGCCAGCGTCGCAGGAGTAGCACTGGTTAGTCACGTGATCGCACCTGAGGTTGGAGACTGCTCTCCCTACCTCATGGAGTCTCTCGAGAGCCAGTCATTGCTCTAGACCTGCTTTTTTGTCCTAAAAGCTCG